ATTTATAAACTGATTATATTAAAATATATAATCAATTTTTAAATTTAAGTATTAATATTTAATAAAATGAATTTTTGATTTCTAAATTAAAGCTTTGGTTTCTGAATATAGATTGATACTTTAATTGTTTTAGAAGTCATGACTGATATACATTAACATTTACGTAAAAGAAAGTTGTATAAAAATATCATCATTTTCCCGTTGCATTATTGCACCTCAATGAGGAGGCTAATGTCATTGTCCATACTGAAGACAAAAATACGACTTCCATTTTGGGTGGCCTTAAGTATTGACGATGACTGAAGACCCACAGTGATAGAAATGGGGGAACTTAAGGACATTAATGTCATTGCACATCATGACTAAATTAACCACAGACAAAGACCGGTAATAGTGGAAATGACATAACTACCCTCAAAAAGTCTACTTACCAAATGACATTATAAGCGAACGAAATTACCCTTACTGTCACATTTACGGGATTCTTCTAGATTCCAAAACTACATTATTCATGAAGTGTACATTTACGATATTTAACAGAAATATCGGGGACAAATCTGGCATTTTATAGCACAAATAGGAAGGAAGACAAAGCGTACCGGAAAAGGGAGATACCGGAGGAGTGGAGCCGGCAGGGGAAACCGGAGGCGAGGCATTCTGGTAGCCCGGCGGCTTCACTATCATGATACTACGCGTCACTCTCATCGCCTCCTCCGACGAGTCGTCGCTGTACGATCTCACACTCCCACCATCAGATTCTGACCATCACAATTCACAACCGAAATTCGTAAGAAACGAGGGAAGGAAAAAAAAATCAGAGATAAAGAATTAGAATCTCTACAATTCGATCTGAATGATTCATTCTGGAAACGCCTTGGAATTGATTGGTAACTAAAATTAAGAATTGATTTAAGATCTCAGATCAGGAAAAAAAAAAAAAAAAGAAATAAAAGAAAAAGAAAATCAGTTGGAGCAGCGATTTGATCAGTTGATCTGATCAACGACGGTGATCTTTTCTCTTTCGCTTTATTTTTCTTTTGGAAATAATTCCGATTTTAGAGCTATCAGTTCACGATTTCACGTGAAGTTCTGTTATGTAACTAAAAAAATTTTCGCAACCGGCGAGAGAGAGCAAGCGGCCGCATGCATGCATACCCTTGCCGGAGCTTGACCGGAAACTGAAAGTGGAGTGCTTTCGCAGCTTGCCAAGGCCGCTTTCGGGTCGAGGCCCGGCAACGGTATCATCCCACAAGTGGTCAAGCAAACCCATGGCCGATTTTGGACGGACGAACGGCGTAATTTCAGTAGATCCGGCGTAACCAAGGTGGAAACTCAGTAGCCAGGATAAGAGGAAATGGGGTAGAATAATCGAGATATTTAACGACGAAGAGCAGGGGTTTAAATGAATCTGGACCGTCTATCCGGATCTGGAGGAGATGATGTGACGTGGGAAGCGGATCAAGGAACACATAGGTTGAAGATAAGATTAGGTGCTGAAAAGTGGGACCAAGAAAGAAAGTGGGGGGTGGAAATGGAAGATGCTTACGACTCACGAGTAAGGGTCAAAATTGTACTTTTAACCCCTCATTTTTTTTTATGTGTTAGTTTTTTATTATATATTATAGTATTTTTAATTTTTAATTTTATTAAATTTATAAATTTTAGTCTGTTATTTATTAAAATTTAAAAAAAAATTATTTTATATTGATTATTAATTAAAAATAATTTTTTTCAATTAATAATAAATTAATAATTAATTAACAAAATACTCGCAGTCGCGAGGGTTTCTCTCATCGGCGTGCGAGCCTCTCACCTAAGTGCTTTTCCATGGGTTTTTCAAGGCCCCTCTTCCTCTAGTTCTTATTTTTTGTCTCGATTTCCCTATCCCCTTCTTGGATTTTGGTGTAGAGGAGAGATCAGGGTGCAGGAGGTGAGGGGACTTGGTGCAAAGCAACGCTGGTGCAGGGCGCGGGCACGGGGCACGAGTGCAGGCGTGGGCGAGGGCGCGGGCTTGGGGCGCGGCAAGGGCAGGGGCGTGGTGCAGTAAGAGGCTCGTTTGGGTGGACCCTGTGTTTTCCAAATCTAGAAGAGCTTTGTTTCCTACACATCTGAGCATCATATTCTTCTCTGAAACAATGCGCTCCACTATTGCGATGCCTCTGTTTTGCTTAGATCTAAGGTATCCGAGTAATAGTCATTGGAGGTTGATTGGTTTTTTCGGTCGTAAGCCAAAGGAAAAGGATGAGGTTGGGGAAGTTGCTACGGGGGAGAATGCGACTTCAGTCTCAAAAGGGGCTATAGTTCCCTTATTGAAATTTGGCAACAAAGGCTTGCAAAGGATTGGAATAGTTAGGGCATGGTGACAAGGGAGGTGCCTGGGTTTGTATAGAGGAGCATGGCCCTCCTATTGATTGAAACTGTTTTGGGGACGACATATAGTGGGTTGGGGACTGCTAATGTCGAATTTTCCCTGCTCTCCCCATAAAGCTGACTAAATAGGTGAGTACGTCCAGTAGTTTTAGACACTCATAGCGACCTCCTTTTCTACTTTTGTAGCCCTATTTTTGCCCTTACAGCGATTGTAGCTACAATCTTTAGTCATAGATGGCCCTCTTCGCTTAATTGTCCATATATGTCATGGGCACAGTTTAAATCTGTTACTAATGCTGTAGGTTATGCTTCTGTCCTTAATTTGGCTATAATGCCCT